GATACATGCACCCCTATACTCATAGCAGCACTGTTCACATAACCAAAACATGCAAACAACTTAAATATCCATCAATAGATGAATGGATAAAGAAGATGTGGTGTATATATATGTATGTATATATAATGGAATACTACTCAGCCATAAAAAAAGAACAAAATAGTGCCATTTGCAGCAATGTGGAGGCAACTAGAGATTATCATACTAAGTGAAGTAAGTCAGAAAGAGAAAGACAAATACCATATGATATCACTTATATGTTGAATCTAAGATATGGCACAAATGAACCTATCTACAAAGCACAGACTCATATACATAGAGAACAGACTTGTGGTTGCCAAGGGGGAGAGGGGGAGGGAGAGGGTTGGACTGGGAGTTTGGGGTTGGTAGATGCAAACTATTACATTTAGAATGGATAAACAACAAGGTCCTAATGTATAGCACAGGAAACTATATTCAATATTCTGTGATAAACCATAATGGAAAAGACTATTAAAAATGTATACATGTGTATAACTGAGTCACTTTGCTGCACAGCAGAGATTGGCACAGCATTGTAAATCAACTATACTTAAATAAATAAAATAAAATAGATAACTAAGGAGGACCTACTGTATAGTACAGGGAATTCTGCACTCTGTAATGGCCTATATGGGAAAAGAATCTAAGAAAGAGTGGCTATATGTATAACTCATTCACTGTGCTGTACACCTGAAACTAACACAACATTGTAAATCAATTATACTCCAATAAAAATTTTTTTAAATCACTTAAAATTATATATGTATGAAACGTAGAATGTCATTATATAAAGGTAAAAGGGTCAATCCAACAAGAGTAATTTCAAATATTTAAAAATATTTTTGCACCTGCCATAAGGGCACCTAAATATATAAAGCAAACATTAACAGACATAAAGGGAAAAGTAGACAGAAATACAGTAATAGTAGGGAACTTTAATATCCCACTTTCAACAATGGATAGATCATACAGACAGAAAATAAGGAAACAGTGGATTAAAACTACACATTACATCAGATTGACTTAACAGACATATACAGAACATTTCATCCATCAACAGAATACACATTCTTCTCAGGCACACATGGAATATTCTACAGGATGGATAATATCAACAAAGCAAGTCTTAATAAATTTAAGAAGACAAATTATATCAAGCATCTTTTCTGACACAGTGGTGTAAAACTAGAAATCAATTACAAGAAACCTGGAAAATTCACAAACCTGTGGAGATTAAACAACATACTCCTGAACAATCAATGAGTCAAAAAAGAAGTCAAAAGAGAAACCCAGATACATCTTAAGATAAATGAAAATGGAAATACAACATACCAAAACATATGGGATGCAGCAAAAGCAGTTCTAAGAAGGAAGCTCATAGCAATATACACCTACATTAAGAAAAAGAAAGGGCTCAAATAAACAATCTAACCTTACACCTGAAGGAACTAGAAAAGCCCAAAGTTAGCAGAAGGACAGAAGTAACAACGATCAGAGCAGAAATAAATGAAGCAGAGACTAAAAGGACAACAGAAAATACCAATGAAACTAAGAGCTGGTTCTTTGAAAAAAGAAACAAAATAGACAAACCTTTAGCTACTCTTATCAATTAAAGAGCGAGGACTCAAACAAAATAATAAATGAAAGAGGATACATTACAACTGATAAAACACAAAGGATCATAAGAAACTACTATGCCAACAAATTCAACAATCTAGAAGAAATCTAGAACTGTCAGAACTAGTAAACAAATTCAATGAAGTTTTGGAATATAAAATTAATATACAAATATCAGTCTGTTTCTATACACTAACAACTAGGAGAAATTAAAAAAACAATCCTATTTACAATTGCATCAAAAGAATTAAACAACTAGAAATAAATTTAACTAAGGTGGTAAAAGATCTGTACACCGAAAACTAAGACATTGATGAAAAATCTGAAGATGACACCAATAAATGTAAAAATATTCCATCCTCATGGATTGGAAGAGCTGACATGGTTAAAATGTCCATACTACCAAAAGCAATCTATAGATTCAATGTAGTCCCTATCAAAATTCCAATGGCATTTTTCTCAAAAAAGAAAAAAACAAAACAAAACACTAAAATTTGTATGGAACCACAAAAGACCATGAATAGCTAAGGCAATTTTGAGAAAGAGGAACAAAGCTGGAGACATCACAGTTCTTTGTAACTATATTACAAAGCTATAGTGCTCAAACAGTATGATATTGGCATAAAACCCACATATAGAACAAAGGACAGAAATGGAGAACCCAGAAATAAGCCCACCCACATATGGTCAATTAATTTACAACAAAAGAGCCAAGAATATACAATAGGGAAAGGACATTCAATAAATGGTTGGGGAGAACTGGACAGTCACATGCAAAATTGTCCTAGGTATTTTGAACATTATTTTGAGAGTCTGTTTAAATTCTAAGGAGAATGTAGATCGTATTGTTTTGGCAGGTAATCAGGTCACCAGTGGGTCAGCCTGGGTCAGAGCCCACAAGTACAGGGAGCCCAGGAATTCACCTGTAACTGTACTGCATCACTCACCTAACCTCCCTCCTCTTCATGCCTGACCTGATACTTAACAGCTCCCTGGGGCCTGCTTTCCAAGACTTCCAGCCAGAAATTTGGGGCCTTAGTTTCCCCCCCTTGCTGCACAGTTCCTGCAGCTGCATCCAGTCCTCAGCTGCAGGAGGGAGGAGAGAGAAAGCAGCACGTGTTTGCCATACACTCTTGTGGCCTCACCTCCTCTGGTTAGAGGATAGCTCTTCCCTCAGGGTTTCAGGTGCCTGCCTGGCTGACATTGCCACCTCTACATTACTGCCCAGGAGCTGTGGTGGGTAAGAAGGGGAAAAAGGGAAGGGGCCTGTAGGAACTTTATTTCTGTTCCTTGGACCAGAGGGATTCTCCGGAGCCCTTTCTGTCCACATTGGGGGCACTTCTAGGTTTCAAGCTGGGCAATCCTGGAGAAAAAAATGGTAAATTCACCATGGAACTTGGAATCTGATCCGCTTCATCTGCCTGCTGCTTACTTTTCAGTTCTCTGAGATCTGCTTTCTGCCTTTGTCCAGGATTTATAGCTGTGGTCATGCGGAGAGACCAGTGGAGGGTGCTCGCTCCACCCTCCCAGGACGGTCCTGTTGAAACAGCAGCCCTCCTGCCCCCTTGCTTGCTTCTCCATGGACCTCATCGCTGCCTACCATGCCACACATCACATGTTGTCCATCTCCCATGACTGGGATGGAGACCCCCCATGAGCAGGGCCTTGCTTGCCCAGTGCTTGAACAGCGCTGGCACGCCAGACATGCCCAACAAACACTTTTTGAATGAGTAAGAGTCAGGCTGGAGTGAGCCAAGGCTTAGAAGCTGTGTCTAGTCCTCTCAGGCTTCAACTCTCCTCTGCGGTCCCTGGCTTTCTCAACAGCCACCAGACAGGCAGGAAGGCATGTCCCGTCCCCCGCTTTGGCTGGCAGTACGGCCCCAGTGGCCCCCCAGTCTAGCAGCTCCTCACCATGCCACCTGCACCCAGCCCAGGCCAAGCAGCCTTGTTCTCACCTAACCCAAAGCCACCACCTCTACCAGGGCCTTTGTCCTCCGATCCTGCCTCCACAGCGGCAAGTGACTTTAAAACATAACCATGCTTCAGACTCTCCAGTGATTCCCATTCGTCAGGACACAAGGCCCAGCCCCTCTATGCCTCTCTGCCACACACCTGTTTGCTGTTCTATGAGGATTGGTTCTTTGCTGGTGCACCTGCAACTTGGCATCTTGACCCCGCCGCTCTGCTTCGTTTCTTCACAGCCCAGATCGCAGTAGCCCTTGTCCCCCAAAACCTTGTCCCCCAAAGCCCAGAAGTCCTGGGCCTGCACCCAACTCTACACTGCCCCCTAGTCCCAACCTCGGCCTACCTCTGGGCACTCCTGATGAGCTGGGTACAGATCTAATAACCAGTACCTCTGATTCTGGGGCTCCTTGGGGACATGAATCCTGGATTTTTCTTTTTCTTTTCAAAGGTGGTTTCAGCTGGGAGGAGTAAGCCTGGCTGGGGTGAAGGTAACTAGAGTGGGAGAGTGTGGCACATGTGGATAAGAACTTGACAAAGGGATGCGAAAGCAGAAAACCTTCTGTTCCTCTCTGGCCCAAGCAGCCAGGCCCCCAGCTACCCCTGGCTGTCCTGGAAACCCAGCTCTGCCCAGCTCAGCCCTTGCCCTACACTGCTGCCACCTCCCACAAGGCCAGACCTCTCCCCAGGGCTACGGTCCTCACCAGCTCCCCCGCTCTGCCCACAGCAACCTTTCCTCCTCCCGTGTGAAGATGACGGCACAGCTCCTCCCAGCCTGGCTGTCAGCCAGAGGCTTCCACAGGGCTCATTCTGCGGGCTAGGCTTGGGCACAGAGCCTGCCAGGGCAGAGGGACCTGAGGACGGGGGTCAGGAGTCCCGGGTAAGGTCCCCTGCCAATATACAGACCCCACTCACGGGGTAACAGAACAGCACCCCAGGGGGAACCTCCTGGCATTTCACACGTACACACACAGGTGTGCGCACATGCAACATAGACGTGAGCGCGAGGCACACGGACGTGTACATGCAGTAGGACGTGCGCAGCACGTGCACGCACACCTAGGCACGCACGTGTGGGTGGGCGGGCACACGTGCATACTCACACCCTTGGCTCCCTCTGACACCAGGCTAGTGTACTTCCCGAGACGCGGGCTTGTCTCCGGTTGCGCTGAGTGACTCGGAGGAAGCAGTAGGGATTTTCCCGTGCCCCTGCCCGACAGCGGCAACCCCCGAGAGCAGGCGGCAGGCTGACGGGGCTCGGGACCCCGACCTCAGGGGGAGTCTATCCCCGGCCAGTCCTTCTGTTCCCGCTAGCCTCCTTCTCAGGCTTGCTGGAGGCCGGGACTTCTGCCCTTGATGCCCAGCCCTGCTCGGCAGCCCCGCCCAGCCTGGGCTCTGGGCACGTGGGGACTGGTGGCTGATGAGGCCCTTTTTCCAGTCCAGCGCTCGGCCTGCCTTCCACTCAGCTCTGCTGCCGGCCACCTGCTGCCGCCCGTCAGGCCTGGAATGCTGACTGGCAGTTGGCTGGGGCGGGGGCTGGGGATCGTTATAAAGCTGGGGGCGCCTGGGGGTCACCTGTCCCTGTCTGCAGCCCGCGAGTGCCCTCCGCCGCCACCATGCCCACCCACCGCCTCGTGATGGTTCGGCACGGCGAGAGCACCTGGAACCAGGAGAACCGCTTCTGCGGCTGGTTCGATGCGGAGCTGAGCGAGAAGGGGGCTGAGGAGGCCAAGAGGGGGGCCCATGCCATCAAGGACGTGAAGATGGAATTTGACATTTGCTACACGTCGGTGCTGAAGAGGGCCATACACACCCTCTGGACCATCCTGGACACAACGGACCAGATGTGGCTGCCTGTGGTGCGCACCTGGCGCCTTAATGAGCGGCACTACGGGGGTCTCACTGGCCTCAACAAGGCAGAGACGGCCGCCAAGCACGGGGAGGAGCAGGTGAAGATCTGGAGGCGCTCCTTTGACATACCTCCACCCCCCATGGATGAGAAGCACCCCTACTACAACTCCATCAGCAAGGTGAGCGGCTGGGGTGCGGGCCTGGGGGGGAGGTCTGGGGACAGGGGCCCAGGCTGGGGGGCGGGGGGCTGTCTGGGGAGTGAACAGCAGCACGGATGCCCCCAGGCACGTCGCTATGCAGGCCTGAAGCCAGGGGAGCTGCCCACGCATGAGAGCCTCAAGGACACCATCGGCCGGGCTCTGCCCTTCTGGAATGATGAGATCGTCCCCCAGATCAAGGCTGGCAAGAGAGTGCTCATTGCAGCCCACGGGAACAGTCTGCGGGGCATCGTCAAGCACCTGGAAGGTGAGGCCCATCCTCAACACAGGGTGTGGGCAGAGGCGGGTGGGGTGACACGTCCCCTTGAACCAGCGAGCCCCCAGCTGCTCATTTCGTAAACGTGCCAGCTGCCTCACCGAGGCGGCTTCACAGACATCCGCACCCCGGGCAGGGCCTCCAAACTGTGAACTGGACTGGGTGGGGCGAGAAACCACTTGAAAAAACAGCTCTGTAAGAACGAACCGTCCACTGCCGTGCGTACTGGGACAGACACTGTGTAACGTGAGTCTCCTTCTGAAGATTCTGGGTGAAAATGTGTGCCGCCACTGACCCAGGCCCCAGGCCCTGCACAGGGGTCCACAGCTGGCCTGGCTTCCCCAACACAAGCCTCAGGGGAGAGGAGGGAAGGCCCAGGGGTGGCATCTTGCCCAAGGACACCCACCCCTGAAGAGGAAGGGCCATGTGGCTCTAAATCCCAGCTTGCTGAGTGACCCTGGTCAAGTCACTTCACTGGCAGCTGTTGGATATGGGACTGAGAGTGGGGCCCTGCCCAACCCTGCCCACACCCCAGCTCACCCACTCGGGGCAAAAGACTAGTCAAAAGACAGGTGCAGGGTGTGGAGAATGCCAGAGACCTTAGGTTGGTAGCTTGGCTTCCACTAAAAGGGGAGGAGCCCCTCCCAGCATGACAGGCTTCCTCCAAGTAAGCCCCCGTCTGCCTTTCTGAGGACTTCCTGAGGCTGAATCCACACAGACGCCTCACGGCTGGTGCTGAGCCTCGCAGATGCAAAGACCACCTGCCCTCCCTCCCTTCTGCGGGCTCCCTGCAGCCTGGTCCAGGAGAAACGAATGCACCGAGGCAAACGGGACCGGGGTCTCCCACTGCCCAGAGCATGTTCCCTTAAGGCCTCCCTGCACCAGCGGGCTGGGCGGGATGACAGCGATACCAAAGGTCGAGCTGCTATTCCAGGCCAGGTCTTCGGGAGGCCAGCAGGGTTGGGTCAGGTTTCCACAGAGAACTCTCTTCACCGGGCAGGGCCTTGCGTCCACCTCGGCCACAGGCAGCGCTTCTCGCCGTCCCTATCGCACCCCCCTTCTCAGGAGCAGCCCTGCTCCACTGCTTAGGACGTCTAGAAACTAGAACTCTCTAGAAGCCAAGTGGTTAAGGTCTTTCCTGATCCCAAACACCCACCAGTCTGACCAGAGCTCACATTGGGCCAAAGGGGCCAATGGCGTCACCCCAGATGAGGCCAGCTTGGGCCGGAGCGAGGTCCTCGGTTCACCACAGCTATTTCTGTAGGCTGCTGTCTCAGGGCTGCCTTGACCTTCTCGAGGAGCATTTCTGCGGCCTTGCTGTTGGGGTGGGAGGGCTGCTGCCTGGCCAACAGCCCTGTGGCCTGTAAAGGTCACGAAGCCTGCTAAATGCAAGAGCAGGTGGCTGCCTGGCAGACAGGCTGGGCGGGGCTAAGGATGCTTGTTCCTCCGGTCCAGGGATGTCGGACCAGGCCATCATGGAGCTGAACCTGCCCACGGGGATCCCCATCGTGTATGAGCTGGACCAGGCACTGAAGCCCACCAAGCCCATGCGGTTCCTGGGTGACGAGGAGACCGTGCGCAAAGCCATGGAAGCTGTGGCTGCCCAGGGCAAGGCCAAGTGAAGGGTGGGCTCTGGCAATAAAGGCACGTCCTCTCACTGCCTCAGGCCAGTGTGGCCCCAGGACGCCCGCCCCCCAGTGCTCACTCAGGGCTCGTTCCGTGGGCCTGGAGCCCGGGATTCCACACACACAGCCCCGGACCCCCGCTGCCTGCCCAAGCCTCCCCCACTGGGTGCGGGGACCCCGGGAACACGGAGGCCAAGAGCCTCCCTATCCCCGGCTATCGAGTGGCTCCTGACAAGCCCCGACGATGACCCGCAAAGCAGAAGAGCCACTTGGCAAGCCTGCTGTAAATCCGAGTGCCCAGGGTCACTTAGGGAGAGTCCAAGTGACCCAGCCCTCCCCATGGCGAGCGAGGACTGTGGCCAACATGCCACTTCCTTCACATTGGTTGTCCTCTACTGTCCTGGCTGCCCCAGGGTGGGAAGGTCAAGGTGGTACCCTGAGCCCTGCCCCACGTGGGCCCCTTGTCCAGGGGCAGACAAGCCCACAGGTGGCCTCAAAACTGGCAATACCTGATTCAAGGGGCTTTCATAGCTGGGGTGGGCCCTGGAGGCTGTCCTAAGAAATCAGGACACGGTGAGGCCTGCCTGCAGCTCAGCCTAAGACAGGAAACGCCATCTGCAGCCAGGTGGGGAGGGGGCACTGGGATTGGCCACCACCTGGGCCCACAGCCCCCTCGGCGCATCCTTTGCCCCAAGCTGCTTCCACCTGGCACCTCCCAGAGCGTAAGAGCTTAATTCCCCAGGCACTCTGTGGGTGCAGGTGCCTCACTCCAGGCACATGTGCACACTGGCTGTCCTGCGTGGGTGGAGGCTCCCCATGGCAAGGGTCAGGGGGGCCCTCGGCCCCTCCCCGAGAACTGAAATGCAGGAGGCTGACTTGCAGTCACACATTGACCTTTATGCCTCCTCCAGGTGGCTAAGGGTTGGTCAGAGGTCTGAGGGTGCACACATGAGGGCTACAACAGGAGGGATCGGAGCTAGGGCCGGTGTGGGGCAATTCTTACTCCAGAAGCAGGCACGGATGGGCTGGGGCAGAAAGAAGGAGAGACAGTAGGAACAGGCCACCATGGTTACTTTCCCTAAACCGTATCAACTGAGGTGCACACTGGGGCCAGCAGACAAGAGTGAGCCACGTGGAAGGACACGCAGTGTCTGTTGATGTTTTCACCTCTTCCTTCACATACTTAGATGGGGGCTTGGTTGTCCCTATCTCCACTGCCCAGAGCCCAAGCAGAGGGATAGAGAAATGGGGAGCACAGAGCAGGTTCCAGAAAGACTGCTACCAAAATTGTCATGACCCACTCTGACTTTGGTCATAAACTCTAAGTTCACTGTTCCCAAGGTTCACTGAAGCTACAGACACTGTCCCTTAAAGCCAAGAGGAAAAGGAAAAAAAGGCAAGTGCACAAGGAGCCCTCTAGATGCCCCTGCTCAGACCCACCCCCGCAGACTGGCAGTGCCATACTCCTTGGGCAGAGGTCACTGAGAGGCTGGCCCTGGGCAGGCTTGGCTCAGTGTCTTCTGTTGGGGGTCAAGGACCAGGCTGGTTGGGAGGACTTGGGAAGCTGCTGGAAGCACGTCTGGAGATCACCAGGTTATTGCTGCATTTGGGGCAACAGAGGCCGAGCCACCCAAGCCAGAGGGAGCCCGAGGGCCTGCCCTCATCAGGGGGATCCCATTCCTAGAAAAGCGCCGTACACAACCCTCACGCCGCCTCTGCCAGCAACGAGGAAGTCGCGTCTGGGAGGGGAAGGGAAGCACAGCCCCTGGCCTCGGCCAGCAGTCGGGGCCCTTTACTCAATTAGCTCCACATAGTTGGCGGGAAACATGCCAAAGTGGCCGTCCGGCCCGTAGCCACGCCACCAGCCTTCGTCGATCACCTCAATGCCCGTGATGAGGTTCTCAGGGTCAAAGGAGATCTCGGTCTCGTCGGCTGCAAAGAAGGTGAGCCCAGATGCGGTGCTGAGGGCCCTGGGCCAGCCGGCCCTCAGCCTGTGCTGACGCTGCTCCTGGGGCCACTCCCCCAGCACACACCTTCCTACGGGGCCCGGCCCTGGGCTCACTGTCCCAGCGAAAGGCTGGAGCACAGCACTTCCACACATCAGCCTGCTCCCTGAGGCCTCTACCCAGGGTCAGCAGGGGCACCGGCATCCAGGCCTGGCCCCTCTTCTCTGGTCGCACTTTCCGGCACTAGGACAAGGCAGGCAACTGGGATTCACACCAGTGGACAGCAAGTAGCTGCCCGCAGCATGTGGGGAGGCCTGAGCTGTGCAGGGCACCCACCCACTCTCCCTTCGCACCCTCCTGCCTTCACTTCCGACACGCCCCGGGGCTCTCCCCTTGAGGGAGTCCGCAAATCCTGCCTCCTGATCTTGGGCCCTGTGGTTTGAGGTGGCGGGGCTGCAGCACGTTACCTGCCTGGTAGTCATACAGGGCCCGGGCACAGAGCCCTTTCCCACTCAGCCCCGGGTAGTGGTCAATGCGCTCAGAGCTGGTATCTTGCTGCTGCACCTGCCCACGGATGGGAAAGAAGAAGAGAAGTCTGGGATCGTGGTTACCCAGATTCAACCCTGCCTGTGACCAGGGCTCACGGCAGACTTGGGGGGAGGGCACACGGGGCACGGGATGCTCCAAAATTAAACAAGGTAATTCACAGGTAGGGAGCCACGGAATGGGTACGGCCAAGGAGCGCGTTTCCGGGCACATGGGCCCTTCACACATCTGCCCTGCTGCAGAGAACCCACCATTGGAGGCTCCTCGTAGAGGGTCTCCTGCTCTGGGGGCTCCTTGTACACGGCCTCCTCTTCCGCTGGCACTGAGCACGGAGGGGCACTGGGCACCGGCTCCTCGCGGAGATCTGCATGGGAGGACACGGCCCACTCTGACGCAGGGGAGGGGAGAGGACATGCCACGTCTCCCTCCCACCCCCAACTCCCCACAAGGCAGCCGAGAGCCTTGCCTGCCCTGGGCCTTGAGGTGGCGTGAGCTGACTCTCTGCTGAGGGGGGTCTCCGGTTGAGTGAGCTGCTTCTGCAGGAAGGGGCTCCTCAGCTTGCCTGCAAACCAACGGTAAACATCGAAGACATCACACTGCTGGAAAGGGGGAAGAGCCAAGTCCTCTCTGCCCCTTCTGTGCCCTGTGTTGCCCAGAGGGTGGACCTGTTCTGGGACAGTGGCTGTCATACAGGGAGCGAACAGGGACATGCAGCAGCTGCAGGAATACCACCCGCTGTGCACACATCTCACACACACACACACACACATCGTACACTCCAAGCAGCCCCTTGGGGGCCACGTGCAGTGCTGGAGAGCTGACCAGCAGTGCAGTCCGATATAGCCTTTGGGGGCCAGAGAGGTGACTGATGCAGGCCCCTGAGACCCAGCTAACAGCCCAACGTTGGGGGATTTACAGGGCCGGGGCTGGAGGGTGTCCACTCTAGAGCCACACACGGCCCCTCTTGTCCCACCACGTCAAGAGCAGGAAGGGAACACCCAGGTCCCTGGCTCCCGTGCAAGAAGCAACCCTCATGAGCACGGGCTCTCCTTACTCATCCCTTTCACCTTCTGATACATCTGTCACTAAGTCAGGGGGCCCTGCCCTGGGACCCCAGGCTCCCCTTCAGCCTTCCCCTGCCTCATAGCTGGGCGCAGAGCGAAGTCTCACCTGGCTGGGGGCTGGAGATGGGCGTGGTGGACACGGCCCTCTCCTTCTGCTTGAAAATCTCCCGTGGGTGTGCTGGCTGTGGACAGACAGGCTCCTGAAGGAGCGCGCACGGAGCCGGCAGTGAATGAGGATCCGGGAGCCATCGGCCTGCCTGGCTCCCTGCAGCTGTGCAGGGGGTCAGGAAGCAAAACACCAAAGCTGAGGGGCTCACAGGCCTCTTCCAGCATCAGGCGGAGGTCCATGCCGGGCTGAGCTTCTGCCCTTGGCTCTCCTCTCCACTGACGGCCCTGACACACCACGTGTCCCACGTTCTAATCTGCCCCAGCAGGCTGCAGGCCCCTCCCAGTAAGCGCCTCCCTCAGGCCTGCTGGGTGGGGTGTGTGCATCTGGAGGGACCCACAGGGCCACCAAGGCTCACAGCAGGCAGCCTGCGCACCTGTCCCAGACGAGCCTCAGCTGATCGGGGACCCGTGCGCGTCACTCTGGCCCTCAAGACTCACCTGCTCCTCTCCGCTCCTTGAAAGCACTTCCTGCTGCTCACACTTCCTGCTGGGAGGGGCAGAGGCAAGAGCTGCAGCCCGGCCTCGGCCCACCCTCCCCTGCTCTGGGGGACAGCCCTCGGGAGGGGACAGGAGGTGGGGGCAGCGCCGCCGCACCTGTGGGGCCCGGCCTCGCCGCCCTGCTGCTGGTGGCGCTGCTCCCGGAGGGCGGCCTCGCGCAGCTCCCGCTCTCGGCGCTCCTGCTCCAGCCGCTGCCGCTCCTCCTCTGCCCGCCTCTTCTCCTCCAGCCTGCGGTTCTCCTCCTCCTTCTGCGGGGAGAGGCGCAGGCGGCTGCCCCCTCGGCCTCGGCGCTGCTGGCAGCATGGACCCGCCCAGGCAGCCCGCACGGGCCGCGGTCAAGCGTGGGCTCTACAGCAACACTCGCTGCCTGGCCTTGTTCCCTAACACCTCTGACCCCTAGTTCAACCATCTGCGAATGGGTGCTACCAGGGACGTCTGATCTAGGAGCTTATTGTAGGAAAAACCGAGACACAGCGAGTAAACCACTTCCTCCTGTCTGCTGCATACAGGACCAGACCAAATGCCAGCTCTCATCCTCATGCCCTGGGCGGCACTTACCTCTGCCTTGGCCCAGAAGCTGTCTTTGCCAACCCTTTTGATCTCAGACACGGCGTTGGTCTTCTGGTACACAGAGCCCTGAGGCGGACAGAGAATTCACTACAGGGTCATCGACAGGAGCATAGCACGCAGGTAAGAACGGTTAGGATGGCACCCGGCAGAGGGAGTGGCGCCTGGCCCGGTGACCCATAAGGAGACTGATACCAAGAGGGCCTGAAAGGCCCTGGAAACTGCAAGTGGGGAAGCTCAACCCCAGACAACACTGGAGGAGTCTCTGGCTGCACCAGGCCCCTGTGGATGGAAGCCAAGGCAGGAACGGCCCCTTGGCCTGCCTGAGATTCCTGGAGGCGGGGCAGTTCTGAGGCAGGCCTCTGGACAGGGGCCCTCAGACAGCAGACTGCCATGGCAGCACCCACAGGGTCTCCAAGAACCCCAGCTCCCATCCCGCACCGGACCACAG